TAATGTATCATTTATAATGGTGTGTTTAGAAATGTTATTAATGCAGGTGGAGGATTTGTTTTTCCATTTGCTAAAAAATTTGCATGCAATTATAGCGATTTATCAAAGCCATTGGTCCTTCGCTAGCTGCACAGTCAGCATGATGACACCACTGATTCCTGCTGCAGCTTTTTTTGTCACCAGCTTGCTTACTGGAGGAGTCACCCTGCTGGAATCCACCATGTGTTTACATAAGCACCTTCATCTCTAGCTCCCAGTGCCTGAAAGCATGTAACATTGACAGCAATGTGCAATGCAATACAGCATGCTTCACTCACTATGCTTGACCTCCAACTCTGGAGCTGGCCATACACATGGCAATTTGATAGAGCAATCAAATGTCCAACTGCATTTTTCCTAAACAATAAAGACCTAAAATGGTGGTTTTGGTTGACTGAAGGAGATGGGACAAAAATTGCCCTGATCGAACCATGCAGAAAAAAAAAAGATGGCTTTCGAACACATTGACCTAACTGTTTTCCATTTTTAGCTTGATCTTTAGTAAACTGTATTAAAGCTGTTTGTTTATTGCTCAGTTTTGACTTCAGTTCTAGTAGTTGATCCATCTTGTGGGTGATTTTGGCAATTACTGTCAATCGTATTTGAAATTCCCGATGGATGGAAAGTGGTTGAAATAGACTGAAAATTGCCACGTGTATAACCAGCTTCAGAGCATGGTTTCAGTGACGCAGGTCTTCCAAACATCATATTGAAGGCAGGCGAAGTTCCTGTTTCTTTTTTTTAATCCCTTCTCACAAAAGAGGATGTTTGAAATAAACATGGGTTCACTTCATTTCACTTTACTAGATCCCTCCCTGCCTGATTGCTGATTGCTGAGAGGGGGGATTGTGAGAGGATAACAGCTGAGGCTGGACACTCATACTAGAAGCATTTCAAATACATTTCAGTGTTGTTGTTAATGAATGCATAATTGGACTAAACTGTGCTTTTCATATTTGCTTGGATTTCCACATTAACTGCTAATAATAGTAGCACAAGAGCATACAAACATGTGTGTTTAGTGTTGTAAATACCTTTGACTTCTCACTGGCAGGGCCCTCCTTACCATCTTGTCTTAAATTGTATTGTGACTGTAATGTCTTCCTTATATTGTAAAGCGCTGTGCAAACTATTGGCGCTATATAAATCCTGTATAATAATAATAATAATAATATGCAGCATGCATAGTGTTTTTGTAAACAAATATATGTGTAACACTTTCCATCAGTATTACACAAATGGCAGTTTTACATACATGCAACGTTTCTGTGTACTATTTATCCAAAACTATGTATGTACTACATCAAAATATATGAAGCAATAATAATACAAATAACAATATTATTATTATAACATCATACTGGAGGTCCCAGGGTTACTGTTTCTATGCATGGTGTCTTTTCATGTTCTGAACAACTAATTTTTTACCAAAAAAAAAGAATGCAAACGGAAGCAAGCAGTAGAAAAATATAATACACAGATTTATTAAAAATAGTGCAGAATTCAAACTGCAGTATGCAGTTACTGGGATGGGATTAGCTGATATGAGTTATTGCTCTCTACATACACATGTGTAAAGTTTAATAATCTATAGCAGCTGGCCATACAGGTTCTCTTAACTGACTATTATAAATTGAAATGTGGTTGCTATAGGTTATGCTCTCTCTTTCATTGAGTCAGCCCAGTAGGCACCACACTTACAATGCATTGCATTATAAAATAAGTAACATGCCGCATGCAAATATAAGTTAATAAAGTAAGCAAATCAACATTGCTCACACAAAAAGTCAGACCTAGCTTATGTGTCCTTTTACAATCAATAAAACCATAACTGAGAACTATTACCACTCATGTTTTTCTGGATATTTAAACATTACCAAACATAAACTTAAAATAATAAAACAAGCAAAATCAATTAGCAGACTGTCCTGGATCGTGTAGACAGGTACTCAGCAGCACTGACTTGCGTACTGGCACAGCAGTGTGTCTTTACAACCTGAAAAGTTCGCTGTGAGAGGCAGGAGGGAGACTCTGAGCAATCTGTGATAAACAGCTGTCCTTTCTCCTCCTATATACTAAAATAATATTTACCATGCAGCCACTGAATGCTTGTATCATTGGATCTAACCACCCAACGTCCCTCCTGCTCACAACTGTCTCCTTATTTATTTAAGGGAAATGTGAGCTCCAAATTAGCGCCATATAGTTAATTAAAATACCTGTCTGGCTCTTTTGTTTGTATTAATTATTTTGGGAGAGTACAGCCCAGCTGATGCCGGCGAAACTCAAACAAAAAGCAGCCAATATAGGGACGCTCCAATATATGAAATGTCACAAGAACTGAGGGCAGTGTGACGTCATATCTGTTATTTACGTCATGCGCTCCAGATAACTTTCCCTGCATAGAAAGAGTGCCAATTGCTTTCTTATTTTTCCTGACACTCCTTATTAAAGTTCATTTGATTATCATGGTGAATAGATTAATGAGCAGAAGTCTATAGCAACCAGTCAGAATTCATTGGTATAACTTATCTGTACTATTAAACATCAATGTCTAATTGGCTGCAGTGGTTTGCTGTGCATAGTTGCTGTATTGAAATGTGTATTTATAACTACATGTAGATGAGACCTTGGCCCCCTCTGCAACATAGAAATGGATAGCCCTATTACTATGACTTAAAATTATCATAGGAAATTATAATTATTATTATTATTAATGGTTGAACTGGAGGGACTTGTGTCTTTATACAACCTCAAATACTAAGTAAATACTGTGTATTATGTTGATGTTCTTGTAATTGTATTTTATTGTTTCTAGTCGTTGTTCTCTTCATTGTATTATTATTTAATTTTATTATGATTTCGAATTATTATTCATGGTATTTTGTTAGTATTTTTATTATTATTATTATTATGTTGTTGTTGTTATTGTTGTTCATGATTGTTGTTATTATCTTTGTTTTTTTTTTGTTTTTATTTACAAGGGAGTTAAAACGCTTGTTTGGTCACCGTTTGGAATGTGTAGGCATCTTTATTATGTATCTATGTTTATCTATCTGTCAATCTTTTTATATATTTTCTTTTTGGATCATTTGTTTTTGACTTCCTTTGTGAGCACTATAATACTAGAAACAATCGGTTAGGTGCATTGGTTTTAGGACGATATAGATAGCAATGTATGGATATAGGTATAGGAAAACAAGTGTCTGGAACTTTGCTTGAACTTTACAGGAACCAACACGAGGCTTCAATTATTTGCTCAACTGGCTGAGAAGAGAGTGGAAATCCTGGGAGTAAATGGCGGGGCCCAGCCTTCAGATGCACACATTCTTGTATGTACTCTGTTCTGGTGTTGACTCGGAGTCCCATATAGAACAAAAAGGGAATTTCACTTTGAGAAAAGCTCTCCTAGTCCAGGCAGAATGCAATAAGCTCACCCTTTGTCTTTGCTGCTCTGCTAGTAGAAAAAGCTCCAGCTGTTTGCACTCACTATCAGTATACTTATATAGAGCTAGAAATGTGAGGAGTTTTCATGCTAGGAAAAAAACAATCTATATTTAGGCACTGTGTTACCTACAACCCCATTGCTATAGTGATCATCATCATAGAATAAAGGGGAATCTAAGCTCTATATGTTTTGGTCATACACGGTGATATTCCCCATGACCTATGTAGTAGTTGATGATTGTATTATTGCCAAAGTCGTTTTTAACAGAAGGTCAACCTGATATATAAATATAGATATGTGTGTGTGTTATATATATATATATATATATATATATATATATATATATATATATATATATATATATATATATATATATATATATATATATATATATATATATATATATATATATATATATATATATATATATATATATATATATATATATATATATATATATATATATATATATATATATATATATATATATATATATATATATATATATATATATATATATATATATATATATATATATATATATATATATATATATATATATATATATATATATATATATATATATATATATATATATATATATATATATATATATATATATATATATATATATATATATATATATATATATATATATATATATATATATATATATATATATATATATATATATATATATATATATATATATATATATATATATATATATACACATACACAAACACTTTATTCAAGCCACAGTCAAATTTCAAGACTGATTTTTTTTTTATTATTTTTCTCTTTAAAAATCAAAATATTTTCAATTACAATTACACGTTTAATATTAAATTCATTTGAAACAATTTGCATTTTATCGAACCATTATTTTAAACCTTTTTCATAGGAAACCATAAGCGGGGAACCATGCAATAAATTACGGATATACGGGAAAGGAAAAAAAAACTTTAAAATGTCAGAAATAAACACATAAAAAAGACTCCCGGTCCAGCTCATCCCCAAATGATTGAGACCCTCTGCTTTAATTGATGTAAAGGGGACAAGCTGGAGAGGGTATGACCCCAGCAGAGAGGAAAAAAAAAACAGCCAGTTTGAAATCTTACCCTTTTTTGCAATGACCTATGGTTATCATTTAACACTATCAGAATTTTTTTTTAAAAATCGTATTACTAAGCTAAACAAAGAATGGGCTCTGTTACTGCCATCGGGCTCTTCCAAATTGGTTCTCTTCTGCTTAATGATACAGCAAAGTTTTCTATCCATGAAGAAGTAACAAAGGGACACCCCAGTCCCTGTCACAGTAGCGACCCTGGTTTGAAAAATATGGAAATGTAACCTTTTTCACAGCACAATTGTCCTTCACAAATCTGGAGTATATATAAAAAAAGAATAAGTATTTTCTTCAAATGTTTTCTATTACTGCCCAAACCCCTGACGTGTAAACTTGCCTAGGAAATTGATAAACATATAGCAATATATACAAAATAAACAGTTCTTTAAATACACTCCTCTGCAGCTAGTTGACCTTTGTGTTTTTATATTACATTGAAAGATCTCCAAATCTGCATGTTTTTTCCATTTTTGTGTTTAAAATAACTTTTTTTTTCTTGCGTTGTAATACATTATTAAAGTAACAGTCACTTTTACAGGGATATGAATTGTCCTCCCACCAAGGAAGATTATCTGACATAGATGGTGTCTGATTATGACGTGTTAAGGACCGGTCTGGAATAGACCCCTTGGTAATACGTTGGCTCTAGTGCTGAAGGCTCTATAGTCCCTCTGCCAGCCATGGTTGTGCTGCCAAGGGGCATCGCAGGAAGAGAACCCCCGTAGGAGGAATACTGCTGCAGAGCCTGTTCGTAAGCTTTGAAGTCCAGTTTGTGTTGTTGCTCAGATGAAGACATCAGGTTGTTGATGGAGAACGGGTGGTTAAAGGAATAGTGGGGATCTCCTTTCAGGTGGATGTGGGACTCGTGGACTAAAGAGTGAGATGTGTGAGCTGGGTGAGAAGATAAAGGAGATGGACCACCGTTGCCTGGCACTTGTGGTTTCAGGTCTCCATTAGAACCATTGTGCTCTAAGGATTGGGGGCTACTGGAGGGGTTAGACATAGACGAACTGCTGTCCAGCTGGCTGGACTTGCCATGCCCTCGGTGTAAAGGTGATGAGGAACCTGACTGATCCTTCCTGCTGTCATGACCTCCTTTGCCCCCTTGTGGCTTGTCACATTTAAAGCGCTTCTGTCTACGGAGGTAGCAGCCATTCTCAAACATATTCCCGGAATCGGGGTGTAGAGTCCAGTAAGATCCTTTCCCAGGCTTATCTGGAGACCTGGCCACCTTAACGAAGCAGTCGTTGAAGGACAGCGAGTGCCTGATGGAGTTCTGCCACCTCTGCTGGTTCTGCCTGTAATAAGGAAAAAGGTCCATGATCCACTGGTAGATCTCACTGAGGGTCAGCATCTTACTGGGGGCCTGTTGGATGGCCATGGTGATCAACGAAATGTACGAGTAAGGGGGCTTAGCGTGGGGGTAACTTCTCCGGAAGGTCTTGGTGTCTCTGGTCCTGTTGATATTGGAGGGGGCATACGCCATGGGACTCATTCCTGAGTTCATACTAGAATAAGGGCTCAAACTATTCATGGAAGCTTGCTGGGCTGACATTGCGTTCATGCTGCCTGGGCTCAAGGCGCTGCCCATAGGTGCCACCCCAGATGTCATTCCGTTCATAACAGTACTAGAGCCAGCAGGACCCATGCCTGACATGCCACTGGGGCTCAAGCCAGCTGCTAGCCCTGAGTTGGCATAGGACATGTTAAAGGAGCTTGGGGGGATGTTGTTGCTGGAGCTCATGGTGTTCATGGTCATGTAGGTGTTCATGGGGGCCAACCCTTGAGCCATGTTGTTGACCGGTACAGAGGAATAAGCCTGAGGAGATAAGACAGCATTTAGAGTTTATCCACACCACAGGTATTGTAACATAATATAACAATGAAACATTTCTGTGTTCTGCTCACTGTGGTGGCTTACTAAACAGTTTCTAGGCTGCCAACAGGGCCTTGCAGGGTCTTCAAATATCATTCAGACTCAGGGGAAATGTATTTTCTTTTTAATATTGCTCCCATGTGTACATTGGCTGGCGGGGCTGGAGTAAAAACGTCTGTAATGCACCTTTCACGTGCTGAGTAAGGATTGTCACCAGAAACTGCATTACATGTCCCAGTTCTGAGACTTCTAGTCCCACACAGGATCACACACGTGCCCAAATAACATTCCTTCGTTACTGTTATACTGAAAATCACATGTAGGGGTTTAATACTCAGAAGACAATTAAGATATGTGTCAGTGCAGGGAGCAGGTGATCACTACAATTGGAGTCACTAGGAAATATATATATATATATATAGTTTTCATTAAGCATTAACAAACATTAAAAATTTAGCTAACCATAATTTTCTCTCTTTCCAGAAAAACACCTGCAATTCCTTTCCGATTAGGAACATGCTTCGGACTGTCCAGAGCATATTCTTGATCCAAGTCAATCTGTTACCTACTTCACGTCAAAACCCCCAAATTTGGGATTTGAAACCAATTCACAATGGATTAATCAGAATTAAGATAGTGTTTATTATATAATATATATCACTGGTATACTGTAGTTGGTCACATATTCTATTTTGTTGTCGCTAAAGTATTTGTCTATCACTTGTGTGTTACTAAAAATAAGAGCCTTGAATATTGGCAAGTAAATTGCATAACATTAAGATTAGCTGTAATTTCATGGAGTTGATGTCCTAACTGAATAGATTTTTACACTGGCCCAAGCCAACCTGTACTTTCTTGGACTTTCATCTTAGTTGAAATAAATACACTTCAACCTCCTGTCCCTTTTGGTCAGTATAGCAATGATCCTTTAGCAAAAAGCCCCAGAGTGGACCTCTTTTAATCCAAATGTAGGTGACAATAAGTAATAACGAACAGTTTACACTGTTTATATAAATATGTTTGTTGCTATAACCTAGACGCAAATATTACAGACTGATTATAGGGGTAATTTTACAGTGTGATCTATAGCATAATACATTTATAGAAAGTATTGCCAAATATAGATACTAGATTATTGTAACTTTGTATCCCGTGCTTTAAACTGTAGCAGAAATATATTTCCACCTCAGCCAAAATAAAGTGAGCGGCCAAGTTCCAGCATTCTCCCTGAGATAGAAGCATATCCAGTTACCTACATGCCACCTTTCCCAGACAATACTTATATGCATTGAATGTTCTATTGTTAGCCAACCCCAGAGCGTACAATCTAATCTCCCAACCTCCAGCCAATGTTCATTAGACATTGTTCACTTTGTCGTACAACTGAATATCCTATTGTATTTCAGTTAGCATAAACAATATTGTATACTGTAGACCGAAATATTTATTTGGGGGGGGGGGGGGGGGGGAATGAGCAATGGCACCTATTTAATAAAGTGTGCTATAGGATATAGTGTACTACAGGGTGAAATCGAAATCCGTATTGGGGACAATAGCATCTAATTTTATAAAGTATGTTCAGAACACCTAGGTGGAATTCAGATATCGATTTAATATTGAAGGTCATTGAAAAGTCAATCGTTAAATCGTTTATTCATATTTTATTAGTTCTTGTCATGGAAAATGGACAGAGAGAGATATCCAGATGTTTATGTGCAAAGTTTAGAGGGCTGTCAGGTCCAACCAAGATAGACAAACGTGGGTGGTAAGACTTTAAAAATGGCATTTTAGCAGTTCATCAGCTGCTATATCAGATCTCTGAACCAAGCCCTTTGAATTTGACCCAAAATAGCTCAAATATCACCTAAACTATAGTAGAGAAAGCTTGAAGTGTGATCACAAAAGGGACGTTGGGGATTGTCTGTTAGTGTAATTGGATTATTCCCAGGCATAAAATTTGGAGTAAAGATGTGCTGTGACATATGAGCCTTATGTGATTAGAAAAACACATACCTGTGGGGAAAGCTGTTCACCTTCTTACAGCACCGGGGCTCTGCCACAGCCTCAGATGCTGAGTTATTACAGTACTTTAGAGAGTTTATTCACACTTGATCGTTTACATCTAGCTCTGATTTGTATGACATCATAATTATATTTTATGATAACATTAGGATCAGCTAGGGGCAAATTTTAATAACACTTCACCTAAAAGAAGACCTAAGGGCCACATATTTCTAATGTATGTATCTACACATATCTATAGACACACACTTGTGTTGGGGTATCCAGACTTCACACTTTTTAGATAATATCCCTTAAGGGGAAACATTTTAAGATCCGATCAGCTGGTAGAACTGGTTCCAGTGTATACTAAATCGTTTCCTGCAGTACGCCCCCTTTTTTTTTTTTTTTTTATAGAAGTCAATGTTTGTTGAGTTTTCCTTGATACAGTTATTACTGGCACCTCCTGAAATGTAGTTATGTTTTCCAAACAGTCCATGATCTTTTTAGATGACTGAAATACTGATATATTTTGTTACAATTGCATATGCATTGGCCATAGAAAGCAGAAGTAAACCAACCAGGTGTATACCTGGGTACACATACAGCTAGCTGAGAACCAAAGTTGAGAAAGGAGTTATGTTCCCCTCTATCCCAGGAGCCTTTTTTTCCTTTGGATCTGTCTTTGAAGCGCTGACATGCTGGCACAACTCGCTCACAGCGCGCTCCACAAGTCTCCGCTAGATCCACCCTCCGTCCAGGCTTTAAAACGCGCCAGGCGATTCACCTCTACTGCCCATAGAAGCGATTCCTCTTCGGACAGTAAAGTTTCTCGAACATGTGCTAAACATTTCGGAGTTTCACTCACTTGAAATACCACAAAAGATTTAGAAACGTGTTCTCTTACCTCTTGGGTTTCCTGGTAGTAGTTGCTCCAGTCTGTAGTCTCATGTCCTTCCATTTTAACAATTCCTAACATCCTGGATCTCAAGTGCCGGAGAGAAACATTCAGCCCACTAATCCAAGAAGTGGAGGGGTCAGAAGTAGAAGCGATGGCAGAAGGGGAGCCGAGGAGTAGATGGGCAGGGAGTACAGCGCTGTGTCCCCTAAATCAAACAGCAGCAGGAGGGGAACTGGGAGAGAGCAGACTGAGCTGATGTGGATCTTACGTGAGGCAAGGCACTTCCCTCTTCCTTCTCTCTCCTCCTCCTCTTCCCTCCCTCCTCAGTTACCTCTCTCAATTTACTGCCAGCACAAGGCACCTTACAATATACAGCTTAGGCAGCTACACCTGCCCTGCGCCCATGGCAGCGCACTCTGCACAAAGTTCTCTGGCAGGGCGTCCCCAGGTATAGAAAAGTGCATTGAGCTGCCCGTCCCACTGCTGAGAGCAAACCAATGGTAAGAAGAGGTGAGCAACACCCTCCTCCTGCCTGCTGGAGTCCGCAGCACAGAGAAACAGACTCTACTAATCATTTGTATTATTATTATTACTCCTACTACAACTATTGTTTTTGTTGTTATTATCTTGTATATTTCTGCTCTCTACAAGGCAAGATTCCTTAGATAAAAGAATTAATGAAAATGTTTTCATATTTCGGTTTTCGAGTCTGTTTACGTAAAAACATTTTTGTATATTCTTTTTCGCTTTTATTTCTGCACAGGCACGCATTTATTATTCACAAACGATCCCATTGACCCTCCACTACTTACATTTACAAATAAAATAGAAAAAGGAATACATTCGTTTAACTTAACGGGAATGTATTTGTACTTATTTATTCTGTTTTATTTAACGGTAATTAATTTATTTGCGAATTAATGCAGTTAAAAGACAGTAATGCTTTCTTTTTCCTTTCTTTTGTTGTGTATATGTGAAAGAAAAAATGAAACAAATAAATACAAGGAGAAACAATATGTTCTAGCAAGGAAAAAGCAATACAGAAATTAGATATTTAAATTGTAGTGGAACCACAAGTCCAAGCATACCCTGACACTCGGCAGTAAAAGCCGGGCACGTGCTTTTCACTTTGTTTTATTTTTTTTTACATACTATTGATGTAGTAAAGTGCTCAGGTATTCTGAGTACACACTTTTCGGTAAACAAATCTACAAACAGCCAAAACACAAATATGAACTTCAAATATGTACAGTCAATACACACTATCTGGGCAGCCACACATTTCACACTTAAACAATTGTATGCAAATAGATGCAAAAACGTTACTTCTAAGAAGAAGGTCACCAGTGACATCACATTATTTGCATTATTGGCATTTTCGAGGTGACAGCTGCCTGTCGATTGTATAATAAGCCTATTCACTTCATTACATTGTATGTGTTTATTTATATGCTCCTATACTTTTCAATGGATAAAAGGCTAGCATTACAATCAACGGGATTTTCATAACACTAATGGGCATGATTGAATTCAATAACAAACCCATACAACGGTTTTAATATTATATGTAAATATTGTTTAACAATAAAAAGGAGAATATAACTTTAGATAATTGGATCTCTTAACAGCTATTACTTGTCTTTAATTTAAAATAAGCCATAACAATGTAACACATTCATTAAAACTATTACTATTTTTTTCTTTTTTTTTACAATTGTGCTTAATTTATAAAAAAAAAAAAAGTTCAGCAATTGTTTTGCCCTTTTTCTTTCATTTGAAGTTACTCTGACCATTAAAATATGAGTGTACACAATTTCAGAAAACTAATATTAACTTTAGAACCAACATCCCCACATAATGGCTTTGTTGTCTACTAAGATGCAAATTTAGCTATAAAATTGACAGGTTTCAGCTAAAGCCAAACAAGGCTAAACTCTTGTTTGTTTGTGTACACAGGTGACATCGAGACCTGACACATACCCTGCCTTTCAAGAATACCCCCTATTATTATTAAATTAGCCCAATCACTTTCTAAACCGTAATGCTGACAAATATTGCTTTTGTCCAATTTAATTATTTAAGGCTTGGCAGTGCTTTTGATTGTTCTGTAAGTTCCCCCAAACTTTTTTCACAGCCATAGAAAATAGCATAGAGGCAACTGATGCATATACTGTTACATGTATGCAAAGCATATGTAAAGGTCTGTTTAATATTAGGCCCTTCTCTAGGTCTCTTGGTGAAAGTAGAACGAGCACTTGTGCATCATGGTAGAAGGGAAAAAAATCTGTTTGACTGTGTTCTTAGGACTAAGCATTTTGAAATCAGACAAGCCTGCAGAAGTCCTAGTTAAATGTTAACAGGATAACCACCATAAATCCCTTAACCCCTTCCCTCCTTTGTTTTGGAATGGTTAAGAATTATTTTGTTTGGATAATTCATGAGTGCTGAAGATTTATAAATGGGATTGATGATGACTTTAAGGTTTGTGCACATTATGGTGGATTCCAGGTTGCTTTAATAATCACACCTTCGCTGCCATAGGGGCCTGCAAGACACTGCAACAGCCTAACATGCTTATCTATCTCTGGCGCCAAACTCTTGAATATAATGTGGAATGTCTTAGAGGTGACTTGAGCTTATAGCACCAGTCTGGCCCAGGAAGAGTTAACGCAAACAGAAACCATGGGAATCCTTCATCTAGTTTTTTAATATGTATGAGAAGTGGAGGCTATAATGGAAATAGAGCTTCTGTGTATTCACACTTAACTATTGCACTGTGACCGCTGCCAGTCCTGTTTCTATGACAGGGTGTGATTTACTAAAGGAATACATTTTTATGTTGTGCTAGTGAACCTGTGTTCATTTCACACATGCAGTCAGGTTACTAAGGAGCCTGCAAATGGGGGTCTGAAGTGAAAAAACTAAACCTATCCGGCTGGGTGAAGGGAATGCAGGTTTGCTGACCCACATGAGAAATGGCTGCTTTAGTAAATCCCCAGCCTTTTTCCATTTATAAAGATGGCAGGAGTTAGCACATAGCTGTCTGCTGTATTTAACTGCATTTCTCAAGCTATTGCCTGTTCTTTTTTTAGGTATTTATAAAACAGCCAATGCATAACCCAGAAATATAAAGGGGTTGATTTATTAAAAGAGTAAAGGCTGTTCACTTACCGCAGTAAATGTTCACCAGGCTTAGTATAATGTGAAGCTGTGTTCCCTTCAATACTTCAATCAACCAGTCATGTGTTAGAAATATCCTGTTGTTTTTTGTTTTTTTCTTTTAAATTCCCTTGCACATAATAGTTTATTTAAAGTCAATACAGATTCACTTTATTCACTGGGATTCGCTTTACAAAGTGAACATACTTTGCTATGTGAACAGCTGCTACTTTTTAATGGATAAACCCCAAAGTAATGGTAGTCAAGCAGAGGAGTTTGTGTATTTGTAGGATGATTGATGAGTGGTGTGTCACATCAGAGTGGCTCTCTCAGTGGCAGCCATTTGACTAACCCAACGAGTACTGTAGCTGACCACAACAGAGTTCAGGAGAGTCCCTACTTCTTCTAAATTAATAATTACATTCAGAATTACCCAAACTCAGTTCTGGGACCCTCCTTTTTTAATTTTCCTCATACATGATTGGCTACTCAAAGTGAACTGTACACACATTTACCCTAACAGATATTCAGTTTGCAATGTGAGCATACACTTTCTAATGTGAGTATGTACTTGATGGAGTAGATTAACACCTACTCCATTAGCAAATCAACCCCACTATATACAGAAATTAAGTCTTGGGGTAATTTTACTGAGGTGCCACTTAGGTGATGCTACTGCAGCCTCGGGGACAAGAAAATCCCTAAAAGGCTTACTTCACAGTTTTACTACAAGGAGATACCTTCAATGATATTTGACTTTGCATGGGCAAATAATTGCAGTGGCTAATTTAAGGAGTTAAATCTTAAAATACATTCAAGTAACCTATTACCAAAAATGGAGCGAGTTTGGAGCGGTGGCTACTTTACAACACACACAGGGACCATGGGGAACAAAAGTAGCCACCCTCCAGAAGGTAGGACAGTGTCAGCATGAATTCAAAGATGATTTGAAAACTACAGCTGAATGATGCATTAATAAGCTACATTACTGTTAAAGTACTTGAATGCATTTTTTGAGTGAGTTTAGTGTCACTTTAAGTTGGAGAAGGGCACAGATGCTTTTGAAAATTCAGTGAATTAGGAGAAGTGTAATGAGTTGCTGTAAAATCAGCGCAAACAAAAAAAACTTACTCGTAACTTTAAAAATATTCCCCAGGGTGTACTTGATGAATAAGGCAGATTTACAAAAGAGAATAATTTTATCCCAGCCCCTGAGCCAGAGCTCACTTTAGCACCCAGTTAACTGGAAGTGAAATTTCTGTTTACAAAAGACTTGGAAGGCTGTGAAAGAATTGCTTACTTACTCTATGGCAGTAGAGTCAATGGGGGGCTTTGGACTCCTGCAAGATGTGTGGCTAGTCTTCTCTGCAATAGTACAGTTTTAGGCCAAATTTGGATCTGTCTGTCTACAAGTGCAGAAAAATAATGTTTTTAAATATAATTGTTATATATATATA